TATATGTTTTTGAATGGTTGTTTTTATTTCAGAATCTACGTACCTACATACATTAAAAAACATATATACGGTCGAATTGAGAACCTCCTCCTTTTTTGAAGTCGGTTAAAAAGTATACTGTACGCATGTAAGTCATTTTAGTATTTAATACAAGTAAAAAGGTATTAGTCAACCGCCAGGAAAGGCAAACGAAGTTAATATCTGTCAGCTTGTTTCAAGTTAGCCCTTACCTATTTTTAAATTCAAATTGTCAGATCATCGGTCAATCGGTTACTATCGTGAATAGAAGTCTGCAACGCTTGAGGCATAGAAGCGTCTACGAATTACCTATTTTCTTCAAACCGTGACAACATCACATTCTTTCGTGACTTCAACATCTCACTCGTATCTAAGTTAAGTACTGCATTACCTACTTTTTTTTTAACCACGTCTGCTCTTCCTGTGAAATCCAACTAAGGGACAACATACCTAACGCTCTCTGATAAAAATGAACCTTTTAGACTGTGATTGTCAACTCATTTCCTAAGCGTACATAACATAATATAACATCACGCCTTTTATCCCTGAAGGGGTAGGCAGAGGTGTACATTACGGCACTTAATGCCACTGTACAATGTAACACCCAGTTTTCACTATTTATGTTATGGGTCCCAAGTAATAGGGGGTGACCTTATTGCCATACACCGGGCACAATCCCAGACTCCGTGCTACTATTGAGATTTTTTGAAAAATCCCAGTTATACTTTGCCCGACCCGGGAATCGAACCCGAGACCCCTTGCCCGGCAGTTGCAATTGCGACCACTCGGCCGACGAGGCAGTCTTAGCGTACATATTATGTTAAATCCCTCTTTTCTAGAAGAAACCTACCACGTAACTACTAAACTAGGCCTTTATACATGTAATAATTCAGGCTATAAATCTGTACTGAAGCTAAGACAGACAATCTAGTCCCAAATAACTTTACGAAACAAGTTCAAAACTAAGTAAGGTGTCAATATAGATACAGAGTAATAAATTGATCAATCGAGTACTATAGACATGATCTTATGGTATCCAAAAGTCACTTCGTTCACATCTATTATGAACTGTAATCTGTCAACAGCCGGCGATCAGACAAGCCTGTAATTATTAATAAATGTTGTAATTATGGAACACTGTCGATCATCTAGTTAAATTAGGTTATTTACATTAAACAAACCTTTGTGTTGATTATGTGTATAAGTATCTGTGCTTTAATTTTATTCGTTCATAAGAATAGACGACTCAATTAAATTTGCAAAGAAAAAATACTTTCAACTAGCCGATTTGGATTAGTAAATGTCTAACTTTGAGCTCTAATAAAAATGTTTTTTTTTTTTACTTCAAGTGCAAATTACCCATTTTATTAAAGAGCAACACCACTTTTGGTTTACCAGAGAGCGCTGCTGCCCGGAAAATGTAATTATCAGTATACTATAAACGACATACATACATATCTCATATTGAAAACCATGTCTCCATTCTTTGTGTTGTGGTTAGAAACAAAGATTACTGCTTCTAATTATTACCTAAAAGTGTGAAACCATAAAAGGATACTGCTAATATGAACTTTCGTTGTTAATTTTATAGACCTTGAATACATCTTGCATATTGAGATGTAGGTAATTGTATTTCGTAATCATAATTATTCGGGATCAATATAGCTATACATACACAGTATAATAATAGATAATAAAAAAATCATTACATCTACGGATGATTTTTTAACTTAAACTGTCAAACACCAAGCGGTCACCGGTGACCGCAACCTATTGTTCTATAATTGTGTCTACAAAACCGGTACTCGACGAGTTAACCAGAACTTAACCAGAACAGAACCAGAACCTTTTGTTTTAAAGTCATTGTACTTGAAGCGATTAATTGTAACCTACACTATTCAACCAATAATCAAAAGAAAATTATCAATACCCCATTGTCTATCACCCAATTTACCTTAGAAAGAGGTCACACTCACATACTACCTCCATCCTAAAACCACGCCCTCTATATTTCGAACACAGAAACTCTTCAGATGAATCAACCAATGACGTAAGATTTGCAACACAAACTTCAAACTACAATTCTGCAGTGTATCGGTTAATTGCATCTACGGTTTTGTAATTAAAACAATGAATGCATTGTACGCATGTGTGGATATAGTATGTTGTTTTTGGGTACATAGATAGATTTGACGTATAGAGGTAGAATGGTTATAATGGAACAAAGTGGTTATTCAAACTTTTTTGTAGAAACCTTGAAACTGATTGAATGAAAAATGAGTTGGTTGAGGGGTCGTAAGTGCGACCATCAAGCGCGGGTGCAAGTGGGTAGTTACCTGGGTCAAAAGTAAATTATTTTGTTTTTTCAGTCAAATTAAATATTGAAAAATAGTTGTTTTTATGGCATTAGCCGGTAAACGAGCAGACGGATCACCTGATGGTAAGCCATCGGCATCGCCCATGGACACCTGGAACACCAGAGGCGTTACAAGAGCGTTACCGGCCTTTTGGGGATTAGGAGTTTGAGGATCGTTGGGTATTCAGGGATTGGGGAGATTGGGGAAGGGGAAGGTAATTGGGCCTCCGGTAACCTCACTCACACGACGAAACACAACGCAAGCATTGCTTCACGTCGGTTTTCTGTGAGGCCGTGGTATCACTCCGGTCGAGCCGGCCCATTCGTGCCGAAGCATGGCTCTCCCACACTTTCATTCATTAATTTGCCGATATACTTAATTTTCGATTTATTGCAGTGCTATTTGACGCGCAAATATTATGACATCATAAGATGGTATTTCGTACAAAATTCATAGAACAGTATCGTTTTTGACATTTCGATAAAAGCATTGAATTTGACTAGTTGTCAACTACCGTATTCTCAGGTCGGGCTAAGTAATAATTATTGAGTTTTTATGCTTTTCGAATATGTTTAGTAATAGCCTACGGTATCTAAAATTCTACCAAATGCATTGTATTTGGTACAATTTTAGATCATCAATGGCAATAGGCGCACACCTTCTACTACATTTTACAGTAGGTACGTATTTCAGGGTTTTTCAGCCAAAGCCATTATCAAAATATTTTGATAGATAAATTAATAGTAGTCTTATACTTCCATGATCTCCTGCGGTCATAATAATACATAAACACATTTGATATATTCACATAAGTGAAATTCGTAACCGCAGACCGAGGAAATGAAGTACCTACCCAGGGATCAAACCACTCGATCACTGTACGACAAGGTCAACAACCCCATAGAGAGTTACGATTGATCGATCATCGCCGTTTTTTAGTTTAATTTTAGTATTTCTAAATTTTACTTTAATTTTGGGATTAAACTGTGTTGAAAGGGCAAAAACTAGGGTTTTTTTTTAAGGGGGAAAAATCATCGAATGACTGCTCCCGCCTGGGTGAGGCGGAAGGGAGTGTCAGACTCTTACTAACTAAAAACCACCCCGTTCCTTCTCCTGCACGTCGAGCTACTAAGGTAAGGTAAACTAGGGTAAGAGCCGTAAGAGTTTAAAAAGGATGAAAAGTATTGAATTGTTTTTAACCGACTTCAAAAAAGAAGGTTTTTAGTTTGACCTGTATGTATGTATGTTTGTGTGTAATGGTCTCACGATCGACTGAACCGATTTCGATGCAGATTTCAGAAAAGTGTTTGATACTCTCAGGAGGAGGTATCAGTATATTAATTAACCTACT